AACACTCGAGCACACACACACACTCACTACTAACTACAGCTATGGCAGCTATGGCTGCCTCTAACCTATCGCTATGCTAACTCCTCCTCTCTTGCCCACTGCGTCCTCCGGGCTCATCTGCAGAGCTCCTTGCACAAGTCGCTGTGGCAGCGCTTCCGCATGGCTCACGCATGAATGAATGAATGGGCGCTGCCTCTTGATTTATACTTCAGAAACTCTTTGGTCTGCCCTTTGCCATCGGCCCTTGGTGCTCACAGTCCCCCTGTGGTACTTGCTGGACCGGACTGGGACTGACTGGACCTTCCGCTGACTGACTGTGGGCTCACTGCCATCCTACCAACGTTGTACTGCTGTTGCACTGCGGTTTAGTCCACCACTTGCCTCACCACTTGACCACTTGACCACTTGCCCACTTGCCTATCTTCTAGAAGGTCTACAGCTAAGCTTCCAGAACTCACTAAGACTCCTACGCTATAGACCTACAGATCGAACCCCTGCTGTCTATGGACCTACGACAGGTCTACCAACTGCCTACGATTACACAGGTCACAGGTTCAATTCTCGGGGTCTACACAGATACTGTACATGGGTAGGGTGAGGTCTAGGGATCGAACCCTGGGTACTGCATCCGCTACTGCTAAAAGGTGAAAAACGTTTCAATCATACATATGAGAAAAAAAAACTTGCATGGGCTATCCTTTCATGATCCTCACGGCACAGGGCAGGTGAATGAACCACATGCTAGCTGAATCTCAGGTGGGTCATCACAGAGCGGCATTGAGCAGGTCTCCTGGGTTTCCCAACTTTCCCCCGTATTTATTCCCTCTCTATGGCCGGATGGCAGCGATTGGTCCAGACTCCAAAGCCAGGGGGGGGTTCAGCTGCTGCAGGATTTCGTCTACAACAGCTCGCAGCGCTGTGTATGTGGTTCATATGATAGTCTATATTCCTCCTCAGGCTCCTGCATCTGTTGCCCGTGTGGCAAGGATGAAGGAGATCTGACTGCAGATCAATCTTTATCTGCTGAAATACAGGATGCTTCAAAAAAACAAGGATTCGCTAGAAGAAAAAAAAAAAAGATGATCTTCATAAATTAGCTAAATCAAATTGTAGGCTTCGTAGCAGCTTTTCTCATTATCGTTGGTGGTAAATAGAGAATGTACATATAGAAATCACCACCAACCAAGCCCGAGTACGCGCAGCCTATATAGAAATCACCACCAACCAAGCCCGAGTACGCGCAGCCTTTATGGCATTGCAGCAGGTGTATGCCCAACACTGCATTTGGGACATGCTAAGAGAGGACATGGTGTGTGTTTTTGTGTGTGTCGTCATGTTCGCGGTACACATCTTCCCAAGAAAAGCATGACCGTGCCACACTGTTCGTCGAGGAGGTTGAACCCGGACCGTCTGCCCAGGATGCATGTGAGTGATGGATAAAGACTGACCACATCGCCCAGAGTTAGCGATACCCATCCTTGAGAGAGAAAAGTGGTTGGCTTTACTCACACCAACCGTGCACTCCTAGCAGACTGTCTGTCCGCGCAAGGTTCTGTGTTTGTCTTGCTAACTGTGACAAAAGTAGCAGTATGTCTGGTAGTCTGTCACAGGCTCATGGGCATAAAACCTACTCTACACCCCCAGCGTCTGTGGGGTCAGCTTTACTCCCACCAACTGTGCAATCCTAGCAGACTGTACGTCCAAACCCCTGAAAAAAATGGCACGTGGTGGGAGTAAAGCTGACCCCACAGACTGTGAGCTTGTGACGTGACAGACTAGTTTCTGTCTGTGAGCTTGTGACAGACTAGTCGCTGTCTGAAACTAGTCTGTCACAAGCTCACAGTCAGAAAATGTACTCGACACATCCGGTGTGTTTTGTATGAACACCGAATTCTTCTCGCTCATTCCATCCACGGTTCATCGTTTTATTGGCGAATCTTTTACATCCACGACACATCCGGCGTATCTTTTACCATAGAACAATAAAACTAACCGGAGATACGCAAGATGGTAAAAGATGCAAGGTTGGACACGTTTGCGTGGTTAAACGCGGAGTGCCTGCACACCCGTCTGCCGCCGAAGGGGCAGACGTGCACATACATATATGTAGTCAAAGAGAGCTGCCGATGGGAAACCGTAGGCAGAGAGGGAGGGAGAAGAGGACAGGAAACGAGGGGCTGTGACAAACTGTTTCGTCGGAATTTCACCGACTCATCAGGAGGCGGAACCCTATATATATGTATATATATCCTGATGAGTCGGTGAAACTCCGACGAAACAGTTTGTCACAGCCCCTCGTTTGTTGTCCTCTTCTCCCTCTCTGCCCCGACGGTTTACCGGGCAGCTCTGTTTGACAGTATATATTGTCACATAACTATGAACTAAAAGAGCGCAATTTGCCTTTCTCGGCCTTTTGGCTAAGATCAAGTGTAGTATCTGTTCTGATCATTTTAATATCTGATCTGTGGTCCATCGGGCCACATAAAAAAAAAAAAAAAAAAAAAAAAAAGAGCGCAATTTGCAAAACAAACGGCAAAAATTAAAAATTAAAAAAACAAGACAAACATGAAGGGCACAGTGAAACCATTCATTTTTCTCAT